CCCGTAATCAGTTTCCCCCATAGTGTGTCTAGTTGAGAGGGCTTCCTGTTCTTGAGAAAACATTGGTTGAGGTCCCAATTTTACAGTGTCAATGCTTATACTACTGTTGTGATAGGTACATTAAAATGTCGAGCAGTGCTTTGTACTGAAACGTTATCCTTAACAACCATGTTGAATGTATTGTCAATATCTAAGTGGAAATATTTCCTGTATCAACCATCTCTAAAACTGCAAGAAGTGTGAAAAATACAATGATATCTGGTGTCTAACGGCGCGTGCCCAAAATGTATCAGTCTAATATTTTACGTTTTAGATTGCTGGTGTTAATTTGGGCCTGATAGGCGAACCATACATTTAGCTCTGCACAGCGAGAGTTGTGATCACGTGACTTCAGCAGATGACTGATCTTACTGAAATGCAACATATTATATACTGAGTCAAAAAAGAAACTTCACAAAATGTAATTTGAAAAATAATGAATAATTTTTCTCTGATGATACATCTATGTATCCGAAATGGGATCCCTATCTTTCGACTCTAGAAAAACGTTATCAAAACCCACTCAAACCCTTCCATTCGTCGTGCAAATGACGTTAGTGCCAAATCAGGTTTTGCACGTGCAGTCGATCACGTGATGTTCGCAGCGAAGTTTTCTTCATATGCACGTGTTTGCATTGGCCTCAAGAATTGAAAAAAACACTTTTAAACCACAGTTCTAACGGTACTTGAAATGTCACGATTGTCAAATGTGCAACGTGAACGTGCCACTGGCATGTTGCAAGCGGGAAGATCAGTTATTGACGTCGCAAGAGCAATGGGATGCAGCCGTCGTACTGTGTATGACTTGCGAGGTCGTCTACAACAAACTGGCACCACTTCTGATCGCCCAAGGTCGGGTCGTCCACGTGTGACGTCACGAGCAGAAGACTGTCAAATCGTCCTACGTCACCTACGTGACAGATTTCTGCCGGCTACATTAACCAGGGCTGAGATGTTTAGAGGTCGACTGTCCTCACAGACCATACGAAATCGGATGCGGGTTGCCAATCTCCATTCTCGACGTCCATATCGTGGGCCAATATTGACGCCGTTTGATCAAAGTCAACGTCTGCTGTGGGCCCAACGTCACCTCCGATGGACCCAGAGAGACTGGAATCGAGTCGTCTTCAGCATGCAATATAAGATATCAATGTGAACAATGTACACATAACTTTACCTCATTAAAACTGGATTAAACAAAATAGTTATTGAATATGTGATATCTTAGTATTATGGCACACATGTTTTCCTTTTAAAAAAATAAATAAAAAATAATGAAAGAAAAGAAATCAAAAAAGAAGAAGAAAAAAACCAACAAAAACCAAAAAGCCAAAAAAAACCCCAACCTGCCAAATATATATTTTTCAACCTTGCCGCGGTTAGTAGGCCTTTACTAACGGAGAACATTGCAAGGTAATAAGTTCTATTATAGCAGTATGGGTTTAGGGAACGTTACGGGTGAGCCACAATACCATTCTTCAACACGGAAACACAAATGCATACACACAGGTACTAATACACAAACCCACTAACATACCCGAGTGGGTACGGGATAGAATGGATCCACGGCAAACCCCACTTATCGTACCTGTCACAATAGGCGGATAATGCCGTTACAGGGTAGGATGACACTTGCAGGATCGTAAAAGGCGATCCAAGGGGGACCAACTTTTCACATAAGTCCACTTGCCCACATTTTCGACTTTCCTTGCATTCTGCTGACTTGTTCTCATTATTCCAATCGTTTTTATACCAAATGACTCTATATCGGCGCTTTATGGCCTTTTTGTGTCGAAGCGCCGTTAAACCCAGTTCAATCAATCACTCAAACTCAGCTAGGATATGTTTGGATTAATATTATGTACCGCCATGGTGCCGTTATCTAGCGGTGACTAGCTCTAGCACTATGGGTTTCGAGGGATTTGGACAAGTTCTATTTTCGGTATCCATCACATTTCGTATCGCCATGGTCTTTTGTAACTATGATCAATTTCATCTTTGTTCAAACTCAATAAGTATGTGTTTCGAACTATAGCCTGTGCCATCATGGTGCACCTTTTAACCACGACGGTTGACTAGCTCATTGAAAGATTTCTATGATGTTGTTGTGCTTTGGCAGTTTAAGTATTTGAAGCTGCCGTACCAACAACATGTTGTGATCCGTTTTAATTGTATACTATAAACTCAACCGACTTTTCATTTTATGACAATGCTGCCATTGTGTATACCGGTTTCCTCAGTAGCTCAGGATCACGCGGATGGATTGACGTCGTTATGCAATTCGAATCTAAACATTTTGAACATGTGACGACTGCACCAGCTTGGTTTGCTCTTGGCATTGGTCCTGCTGTTCAAGCAAGCGGAAAAGATTTCACAACTCAAGAATATGTAAATCTATGTGTTGGCAGTCTGTCTTTGGGCGCCCAAGTAGTAAGGTCTTTCGAACAGTACAGATTCACAATTAAATTAACATTTTAACTCAGGTGTTGGGCATTTGTTTCTCGTTTCGTAACTACACTATTCGATCAGAAAGCTACTTGTGTTACATACTGATCATTGCACTCATAACTACATTGTGGATCAATTGTGTTTGCTTCCACAGAAAACGTAATGTACATATTCTGCACACTGTCATTATTCAGGGACTCGGTATTCCAATAAACGATCAGAAGAGTTTCATGTAGTTTAGAATTAAGAACACACATTGTCTTGACCGGTATGTAATACCAACGCGTTTTGTAATAAACTATCACAAAACTCAGAAATGTTAACAGATCATATCATGGAACGGGCTTAAGCTGAAGTTTACACTTAGTCAAGTGTGTAGGACATGTATTATCTTTACCTGAAAGAATATCTTCAACTTTGCTTTTCAGTCATTTTCCAGGCTTACGGGTGACGTTAGACACTTTGTGAGTTTTATTACATAATGCGTTAAGATGTGCAAAATCTTATTACATTTCGCTACTCAACCCGGTATGTAATACCAACGCGTTTTGTAATAAACCATCAGAAAACTCAGAAATATTAACAGTTCATATCATGGAACGGGTTTAAGCTGAAGTTTACACTTAATTAAGGGTGTAGCAAACATATTGTCCTCACTGGAAGGAATATCTTCAACTTATATTTTTAGTCATTTTCCAGCCTTAGGCAAAAATACCAACGCGCTTTGTAATAAAATCGCCTAAGTTCGAACTGTTTTTGGATTTTATTACATAGTGCGTTGTTATTATATTGGGTTGCTACACAGGTAAGTAGTGAAAGAAATGGCCCTTTATATAGTTCTTAAGTACAATCTGGCTATCGTATGTGCGTTATATGTTACGCACACACGCACGTGAGTTCGCGCCCACACACACATACATATGAAAATACATACACACACTGACACACACACTGACACACAGACACACACATTTATTTTCAGTAGGCGTATGGCAAGCTAATACACACACATGTCCACACACGCATAAGTGCACACAGACATACTGATGTAGTGCATGGTGTTCGGATCAAATATTACATTGACAAACTGGTCCAAACGTACGAGGATGGAAAAACAATTACCTTAATAGTAGATAAATTTGTCTAACCCTCTTTAAGCACTGTTTCACTTAGAGGGTTCATCCACCACCTTCTACTAGCATGAGTGAGTGAGGCCATCGTCTGTATTAAAAACTATAAAGTGCTGAAGTAGGCACACGTGTTTGTTTCGTGTGATTCAAGGTATTCTGAGTCTCCAAACCCCGCCCCCAACAAACATACACGCGCGCACGCACGCACGCACGCACGCACGCACACACACACACACACACACACACACACACACACACACACACACGGGTACCCGGCAGGATTAGATGGTAATACTGAATGAAAGCCTTCCAGCACTTTACAAACTGGCATATATGAATATGACAATCCTTCCCCCTCCCCATCCCTCCGCTCCCGTTTAGAACAAACGATTGAGGGAGTGATCTATGTATATTCCATCGTCTTGTGTCTAGAAAATTGTTTTGAAACCTTATCCTCAACGATTGAAAGTTATATTTCTAACATACACCGATTTTAATGAAAGTACAGATTGGCGATACCAGCTAGCATCCTTTAAAAACATCAATCGACATATGATCATATACCATAATGATTTGATGTCTTCATACGTTAGTTACGTTGAGACTTAACTGAATACAGAAAGACACCAGTAGAATAACGCTTATCATGGTGAGATCAGCTTCCACCTTTAGTGATGTAAGGGACACTATAGCTGCTGTTAGACAGGTCAGACCAACCAGCCAACCAAACAACCAAAAAACCCACCCTCCCACCCACCCATCCAACCAACCAACCAACCAACCAACCAACCAACCAACCAACCAACCAACAAACCAACCAACCAACCAACCAACCAACCAACCAACCAACCCAACCCAACCAACCAACCAAACAACCAACCACCAACCCACCCACCCACCAACCAACCAACCAACCCAACCAACCCAACCAACCAACCAACCACATCTCTTCACTGACATCAAATGTGACGAATGTGGATTCACAACTACAATAATTTCATCACAACTGTTCATGTTGGGGATTTAAAACATTTACTTTACAGAGTAGAAACTAAACATGGCAATAAATTCATGATTTGAAACAACTTTTGATGAATTTGTGGCTTCAGTTATTTGTTGTGACATTTCCAACACGTGTATGAAATATGTGACAAACTTGTCAACTACTGCAGAATAATAATCATAACAATAGTCATGTGTGGATGTAAAATGTTTGTAACATCCCCCTAGGCCTGAATCCAGTCAAGTAGAAAAACATCACATTCAGCTGACCTCGTTACATTCTTGTACACAACAAACAGCACATAGACAGACAACTTATACGTCCGCCTCAATCACTACAATTACATTTGACAGTTTAAATAAATAAGTCACACTTACAAGTTTACACAATGTCATGTTTATTTTATTGTCTAATTCAAGGCGTCATAAATAAGTGACTTCTTGGTGTCAGTCATGGTGATATCTGCCCCACTTATCACCTTCATGTTGACTGTGTGGCCACCTGACCGCCCAACACCAAACATGGGAAGAAGAGACTCGCTCCACTCACCATCCACCTTGGCTAAAACAACTTCTCTGTCGAGGTCTATGAAGGCGAGTCTCCCCCTCCCCACATCCAGCACAACGCCATAGTGGAGGGTGGCCTGTGTGCCGGGTGTGTCAGACATTGTGTTACTGTAACACTCCCCCTCCTGCCACACACTGGTACAGAGACTCCCCCAGTGTGTGTCACAGCTCCATACACTAACACACCAGGAGCGGCGCTGGTGACAAACATACCCCTTTCTGTCTACCTGGCTCTTCTCTATCACACCCATCTCCAGGACAAGCCCCCACCACCCTCTACCCACCACACCCACCCTAGAGTGGGTCTCCCAGTATCGTGGTGTGTGTGGGATAGGGGTGACAGTAGAGGGGGATGGAAGAAGGGGGATGGGGGTGGAGGCACAAGTACCCCAATATTTCCGTAACCTGCCGCTGTGTTTGTGTTGTGTGGCGGGTGGCGAGTTCATCAGCTCACCGTCTGTAGTTACGTGGCACCTGTCTGTGTTGGCTCGATCAGCGGACAGATGTAGTTTAGGACCTGGAAATAAACATTTTGTTTACAGTTTAACAAATTTCCCGACTTCAGACAACAAATTAGACATTTTATTGTCAACCTCAATGTTTACAAACCAGCGCACTGAATATCGCCTGCCATTTTCGTCTGTGTGAGAATTGTGTCATAATTGTGCTTTAAATAGAAGTTATATCTCTGCAAAAATATTTCTATGGGTATTCTAAATGTTTTCCATACATTTTTATATGCCTTGATAAACAAATAAACAGTATTTTAAACACTATTTACAAAGTTGCAGTTGAGCGAGTTTGAGTGTCGGCAATCAGAAATAGATGACAACTACCTAAATATAGAACTGTTTCCATATCATGTCGAGACAAAACTATCGTCATAGGAATTCTAAACTCTTCTTATATGATTTACTAAACAATAAGACCGACAAGGTAGTTGTTTGACGATATTTTTTCATCTGAGTGTTCAAGAGACACAGTATCAACAGGTAACTTCTACGTCCGCTTCAATCACTGACCACAGTTTGAGCACACTCGCTGGGCGGGACACAGGTTGTCGCGTCATATGTATCTACGTGACATGTCTAGTCCCTAGACTTGAACAAGTCTCTACGGTAATAATCGGTGGGTTGAATGAAAATTTCTAAAACAAATATAAATTACAGACTGGCTTCCACATATCTAAACTTGCCTTGTGAAAGACTAGAATTACTAGACATCCACGGGCCTCGCAGTCTAAAAGCAAAGCTATCCAGCACACTAAAAGACAGTTTCCTGTAATTACTCAAAACGCTTCAAGTCCTCGTCAGTTTTTTTAGGGTGAGATATCATTGTAACCCATATTTCAGACATTAGGCATACTATTTTTCATCTGTACTGATTGCAGACAATGTAATCCTCAAACAATAACAAAGGGTTAAGCCATGTGCGTTTATTCAAGGGGTGATCTTAATCGGAAACTATTTTAAACGTATCAATGTAAGAGCCGAGCTAACATTTAGAAATGTTCTAGAGATGCAACACTACCCCCAGAATACACCAAAGCAGAACTATGTTCAGGTTATGTTGTAATTAGGAAAGAGAACATGTACCTAACTTACTTCCATATATGTGTAAATGAAGTTGTGCCCTATTGGTGATGTTTTACAGGTACATACAGTACATCAGACCCCCGGGTTCAGTCATCAGCATGTACGTGTTCTCCTGAGGCCCGAGTACATAGGTCCATTTTAAAGTGACAATGATCAAAACACCACCTCACATGGGGTGCGCAAAGTAACCGACAACCAGTTGCGGTCAAAGGGAGAAAACTCTGTAAGTATAGGTTACCGGCTGGGACTCGATGTAATGGTTCATGGGCTTTTGACAGATGGTGGGTACCCGGATTCATCGTAAACGACCAGACACAAGGGTCGTACGCTCTAACCTTTTTCTAAACAAGGATCATAGATTTAGAAACCAAGGCCCCTCCTCTGCCCCACTCTGCGTTCCTAGTGTTCTTTTAAATGCTGCTTGAACATATCTGAAAATTCCTCAACACGCTTGATGTTGGGAGACACCCAGTTTGGTTTAAATATTTTAGTAGTTGAGTCAGTTATTAGTATAGGTTTTCTGCATGCTAACATGTTTATTATTCGTATGTTATTATTTTCAAACGGGTTCTGTTATGCTTGAATTTGTCATGATTTTGATCCAAGTTATATTTATGAGTATGTTTTTCTCAAAGAATCCAAGACACAGACCAGACTGTCTGGACTATGTCTCTTTTTATTGTAGCTTAAAATCTTTGTGTTATGCAAAACAATATATGATAAAATTATGTAATGTTACAGATCTTGCACATAATATCAATTTCGGATTCACTCACATGTAAATTCAATTCGATAATGACATTGATAGAGACAAGCGTTCAAGCTCAAAGTGTATTTTGAACCTTGCAGAAGACAAGTCTCACCTGGTATTAGTTTGTCCATATTAAAAGAGCTTGGAGAAGTACTTATCTCCCCTTACTTCTGCACATGGCCGGTGAGATTACTTAAAACTCAGTATTGCCATTTGTAAAATGCTTGCATTAAGCAAATTGCTTCAATTTGGTAAAGAGATTTGCTCATTTGAATAGTAAATATGTATTACACATTCTGTCGTCAGTGTGCGCAGAAGACATGTGCGACGTTGATCTTGCCTTGAGGCCATCTCGCAGAAATAAATTTGTCTCTTGTCTTCGTTAAATCATCAATATACTTAGCGTAGTACTGAATACCGATCATATATACCCATTATGCAATCGAGTAGCCTCAGTTCATTCATATCGTATCTACCGTGTACGTACATATGACGCTGATAACGTTGCTGTCTCCAACGAAGTATACTGTGATGGAACTCGCTGCAAGAACATTTGCCACCGCTTCATACACGCCTTGTGTGGTGAGGATGCTGGTGAAGGGTTCCGGCGATCCCTCGGCACTGGAGGCAGGCCCTACGGTTAAAGATATGAAAAATAAATACCCTGATATATATTGTAAACATATTGAAACATTTTCTCTGAATTACAATAAGGAATTACATCGTTTGGCATACTAAAGTATATACAGTCGTGTAGGGTAGGAGTGCTGTTGTTACCCATGTGTTGTACCTGTGACGTGATGTAGTATCTGTTCCAGATGATGCCACCTGCCTTCGTGCACCTGCAGAAATAACATCACTGTATCACTTACAAGGTTCAGGTTTCAGGTTTTCCACACACAAGCAGCAGGTGTTTACAGTACCTGCTCACACTAGTTTTACTGCATTTATGAAATAAATCGTACCATATTCAAATGAATAAACTACAATATTTCCCAGAAAAAATAACACTTGATACGTTGTCCAAAGAAAGTGGAGATTACCTTGTTGTTCACTGTGAGCAGGTTATTTTGTGAATGGAGACCTGTAAAGTATGAGAAACCGATTAGTGTATGAATTGCGGTATTAGTAACACATAACGAATTACGACATGTCACGTTTAAATAATTATGATACATGAATGATGAAAGAATTAATATCAGAAATCTACTGTATCTCGTTGAAAAGAAGTTTGATAATTTAAAGAAAACTGTCAAAAGGGTTTCTCTTTATCAGCACCCCAGCAGACAAATTTAAAGGACAACCTTACCTTGTAAAGTAGGCTGTGAATCTGGAATATGATCCAACTGAAGACTGGAGGCAAGACCACCAAATGTGTCGATGAGTTCCTCTAGAGCTGTCTGCCCCTGAAAGGAAAGGAGGATACTCGTATCCCTCTTGTCATCTTCTGGAAGTTCCCTCTTGAGATTTTCGTCACACTTCTCCTGTATTGTAGCAGTGAGAGTAATAAGCTCCTCTCGTCTTGTGGATTCAAGCGTTCTCTGGGTGTAGTCTATCGTTGATATGATGGAAGACTGAACATCGTGTAAACTATCCAGGTTCTCCTGAACGACCTTATTTGTATTGTCCAGAGCCATCTGGATCTCCTCTCTGAGTTTCTTCTGTCGATGAAGGAACTTCACAGCAACACGTTTGGAAACGGCAATAACCTCTTCTTCCAGCTTTCTCTGTTTATTGTCAAGTTCCTCTTTGTGACTGTTCACAGTTCCAATTGTGTCTTTGACATCTTTCAGTTTCAGTCGTTGCTTCTGCAGTTGTTCCTCCAGCTGAAGCTTTGCCTTCTCGTGGGAACGACTTAAATCTTCATTCTTGTGATGTTCATGGTCCCCAAGGCGACACACAATACAGATGGCCTTCTTACATGTGTGATCATACAGTTGTAGTTCATTGCTGGGGTGATCCTTGCAGTAAGGTTCTTTCAGCCACTGCTTCATGGGGATAGCATCTGCCTGGCCGACCTCATCCATGCTGTGACCTCGATTCCGCTTAACGTTATTGTGTAGTTTACGGCACTGAGAACACAAATAACCATCACAGTCATGACAGTGCCACGCAGCCTGTACATCATGATCTTCTTCAAGATAGTCACACTTCTTCTCCCCATCGCTTCTGGCAGCATAGGCAGTCTTATTGCGTCCGACGTGGTCTGCTACTGTATCCTCAAGTCTGAACTCAAGACCGCAGGGGCACTTGATGGAGGTCTGGTTGGTTTGGACAGCATGGTGGTCAATGCATGGCTTACAGACAGAATGAAGACATGACAGTAGATACAGCTGCTTGTCATCACAGTCCGGAACTGTTGACAACTTGCACATGCTGGAACCCTCAGCAGGATCTGTAAGTGTGGAAGAGAAGCAAGAGTACAATTAAATGCATTTATACATTCATAAATCAGGTCACATTCGCCTTTCTATATACATTTTCTGCCTGTTGTTTTCACTGTATAAAATTATAGCTTTAGTTTTTGGTCAATGCACCTGGTTGTTGGTCGGCCTCAGTCATGACCTCCCTGTCCGAAGACTGTGATGTAGGTAATCCTGATAACAACTCATACGCTTCCTGTTCTGCTTGTAGTCTCTGAAATGACAAATATCGTTCATTCAGGTTTGTGTATTTCCATTTATAAGCATGCTTATCAATAGTTGTTCTGATTTGAAATCCAATAGGAGGAACTGATATGGCTCTCACCAGCTTCAATTCATCACGTTGTTTTTGGCACTGCTCTACCTCCTGGTTCGACTCTGATAGTTTCGTCGTCACTGGAATGAACAAATAACAATTGTTGTGTGGTTTGTTGGTTGGGCGCCGCCCGACAGTACGAGTACAAAATACCTATTTTGGGTAAAGTTGTGTGAAGGGCGGGTGCTACCAGTAGGACAGAACATGCTCACTCTATTGTTAACACCCGGTGTCACCACTGGTGGTCCCTTCTTATAATTTTCACAATTTATGGCATCTGTTTCAAGACTAGATATTTTATTGCACTGATGTTTGATCTACAACTACATACAGGACACAATACTTTGTGTTTGGCAGTCACAATCTACCATGTAACCTATGGAGATACTGGGTATGAAGTATTGCCTATCAGCTTACAAGTTTCGATTTCCTCTTTCTGTTTATCCATCTGTGACATGAGTTCCTCTCTGTGTTTCTTGTTTGTTTCCTCCAGTGTATCATAATCCTTCTGTTTGTCTTCCAGCTGTTTCGTTAAATCCTCCATTCCCTAAGAACACACACGTTACAGAGAGGTAACTCGGGTTAAACAACAGTCTTAAAACGAATGAACATATTACTGTGTCACTCTAATGTCGGTAAGGCGAAGGTGGTGCAGGGATTGGTGAAGGAAATGGGTGTTTAGGTGACAGACCAAGGATCCTGCTTTATCCGAACGTTGGATGAGAACCTGATCCAGCAACACGTGAGTGAGTGAGTTTAGTTTTACGCCGCACTCAGCAATGTTCCAGCTTAATGGCGGCGGTCTGTAAATAATCGAGTCTGGACCAGACAAGCCAGTGATCAACAGCATGAGCATCGATGTACGCTATTGGGAACCGATGTGTCAACCATGTCAGCGAGCCTGACCACCTTATCCTGTTAGTCTTCTCGTACGACAAGCATGGGTTACTGAAGATCAATATTCTAACCAGGATCTTCACAGTTCCAAGCGACACGTAAACCAAGCTTGAAGGCGCTGAAAGATGTTTACCATGTCTGCAAGCAAGGGTATTGTGTTGACGAAGTAAAATATATCACTACATTGCTGAGATTCTGAGAAACTTTGACTTGGACAACTCGAACAGATCTTTTACTTTCCTATTTCTTGGAAATACAATTTGAGTTTCTTACTCCTGAGAAATATTGACAAAACATTTCTTACAGTAGTATCTATATACACATACACATTTCACGTTTTAACGTCACAGGCAGACATTGTTTTATAAAAAGTGGTGGATAACACAACGTTTTCCTCCAGCGCATGATGAGTGTAACTTATGAAATGTGTCAGTTATCAGTAGCGCACTTCCTGGTGACTCGATATATTTAACATAATCAAGGTATTGGGCTACTCACGGATTGCAGCTCTGCTATCTGCTCGTCCTTTCCGGCAAGTTCCTTTCTGTGCTCGGATTGCACCTTCAGTTTGTTAACAAAGACGAGGTCGGAGTTGCCTGTAAAGTAGAATTTTATCAACATATAATATTTTTGGTCAGTACGATTCTATCTATAAGTTACATTACGGCAAAATGTTCTCAAATTTATTTAGCAGCAATATAATATGAATGTTCTAAATAACATACGTCTTGTATTTGTTTAGTATCACTTAGTATTGGAGACGTGTTTTTTTTTGTGAAATGTGATGATGAGAAATACACTTGTGATGAGCACCAGCAGTTCTGTTTGAAACAAGGTACAAACATAATGTGGGAATTGAAAATGGAAAATAGATGTTATAACTGTGTTCCTCCTTTTTCGAGATGTATGTTAGCATACGTATAAGTTTTAAGTGAAACCTATGACTTCTGTTTTGACGTTCTTGTGCGTATGTTGACATGACATGGACAGCCACTACCGACATTCAGAGTTCAAGACTGAAGATGAAATGCAATGCAGTTCAGTACCTCCTTCCAAGGATGTTGCATCAAGTCTTTCTTTAATGAACGGTTGCGTGGAATCAAGGACCCCACACAGTGTCCTGTATCCCTCCACGCCTTTCTTCTTCAATATTTCTAACAGCATCTCACACTTCCCTGGCCCGGCCTGTCTACAGTTGTCATAGTCTTCCTGTGTGAAGACTCCGTCCTGCAACAAGGCGTCCAGCACAGGCTCCACGATAAGGAGCTCCTTCAGGAACTTGTGGTTCCTCTGAATGACGATAACGTGTTTAGCCTCCATCTTCTGATGTTAGGCGGGCAGCTGTGTCTTTGGGATTGAGATTACATTCCTGGAATGTTAAAGGGAACTAAAACTATTGTCACGGTAAAACGGAAGGTATATAAATCATTAAGCTGAAGTGAAATTCTGTCTTGTAAAAATGTCAAATTGTAGGTTGCTCGTCCCTGTACTCTTCGACACCACATAGAATAATGTACATACAAAACCCTATAAACGTGTTAAATTCACAATTGTCTCCATGAGAGCTCACAGTTACTATAGCATCCAAACAGCTCATCAACATGTTTATGATTGTTACCAAGGAAACATTGAGTTGTCTTCTGAAACACACACACACACAGAGCGAGAGAGAGAGAGAGAGAGAGAGAGAGAGAGAGAGAGAGAGAGAGAGAGAGAGAGAGAGAGAGATAGAGAGAGATAGAGAGATAGAGAGAGAGATATAAAGATATATATATATATAGAGAGAGAGAGAGAGGAGAGAGATAGAGAGAGAGAGAGGGAGATATAAAGAGAGAGAGAGAGAGAGACAGATATATATATATATAGATAGAGAGAGAGAGAGAGAGAGAGGGACGAGGAGACGGAGAGAGAG